TCTACAATGAAGCGTCTCGTTCTGGATGATGGGTTCTCGCTCGGAGTCTGCTGCTGTTGTCCAAAACGAGCCAGAGACGTGCCCGCAAAAGACAAGATCGCGACTACAGCATACAAACGCATGATGGCTAGCTTGGAACGAAAACTAGCTCTTGAGATTGTCAAGTCAAGAACAGGGAGAAGAAGTAGAGAAAGGCGGCCCTTCTCTCATCATATCTATTGCCAAAATTCCCGTTGTGCTCTAAGAGGTGAATGGGTACGCTGTTCTGAAGGACCCATGTGAGATGCCGGGTGCGAGTGCACCTGCATACTCGCCTCGTTCAAGATCATATTGAGAACAAACATGAATACCCGTTGATGCGGCAAACAGATTCTCCGACACTTTCTTTGTCCGGTCTTTGGCGGTGAGATGTTGAGGAACATTATGTATCACCGGTTTCAAGACATGCCTTGGGTCTCCCAGGTGGCTCTGCAGCTGAAGCATTTCACAAGGCAGCAGAACGATCCAGAAGTATAGTGATCATGTACATTCTTTCTCTTGATACTATCTACTTGCGGTGGACGTTCGGGCGGTGCTCGGTATGAAATTCGGTTTACAGAATAAACAATGACGGCATCATCTTTTTCGCATGTACTCCCCTGTGCAGTTTGGGACAGACAGCCTGGCAGCTCTTGGCTACCCGCATGACCTGCTCTGTTCACGGCATTCGTGTGGAACAGGCGATGACGAGTAGCAGTGAGATCTCCTAAACAGCACTACATATCTTATCCAAATTAACATCAGTAGGCGGTAATGAACCTGATCCATACGGTCAGTCGGGCACCAGCAGGGACAAACGGGTAAGTAAGGCGAAGACGTCGATGAGTTTGCAGGTAAGGCCGAAGGCAGAAAGATTTTGCCCTTTTGGAGTCACGACGCCGACGGGTATAATCGACAGGGTATGGCTGAGCGACTGAGTCCGCCGTGATGTCGCATCGCCAGTTTATGTACCTGTCATTTTGTGGTCGGAGAGCATGACAGCGGATGCAGACGCCAGGTAGTCGACAGAGATGGCAGAGCCTAGGTTTCACGGCGGGAAGACGATGTTTCACAGCCCCTGGATCAAGTCAAATTTCCGTATTGCAAACCTCGTGGCAGACGAAGTCGGGACGGAAAGAACAGCAAACGGACTGACTGTAAGCTTGGACAGCAATCGGTACACGACACGCGTCTAACTGAATGAGGAAACAAGTAAACGAGTATTCGGGGAGGTTGACAAGATGAACATCAGAACGGGTGACACAAACACATCTCTTTATTTCTTGGCTGACCGGATGCCCTTGAGCTTCGCCAAGAGACCCGCTATTTTGGCCTTGAGAACTGGACTGGGGCCTTCATCAGCGCCAACCAGTCTCCGAACTAGGATATTATACATGCCACCGAAAGCGAGCGCGATCGCCGTCGAGGTGAAGATAATGACATTGTAAGGCATGCTAAAATCTGGTGTGGGCAGATTCAGCAGCAGCGTGGTAGTGCGTGTACTTTGCGTACGGGGGCTGAGAGTAGTTATGACTGCCGCGGCAATGTCGAAACCGCGGTTGGCGTCGGGTGGGTACTCAGTGTATCGAAGAATTGACTTTTCGAAGTCGTAGGTGAGGAAGACTGTAGAAGCGGGAGGGATACGCATCCGCAGCTCGAGCTGTGTGCCTCTGGCACGATCAACGGCGGGGCGGTAGTAAATGTCCTCAACAATCGACGGCTGCGAACCCGACGATCCCTCAATACGTGCGTTGAGAGTATGGAGGTAAACTCGCATGAACCAGGGAAGCGATTCCATGTAGATGAACTCGACCTCTGTATCCTTGCTTGGGTTCGTGAGAATGGCTTGCATACCACCATGCTCTTGTCCGTGTCCAGTGAAACTGCGCTCGGCGTAGATGAGAGGAGTGGACGGTTCGACCAATTCCTTGGTAGGATCCTGTCCCTCCTTGTCTTCTAAGGGGAGCACAATTTCCAGCTCTGAATCTGCACCAATTTTGAAGCAGCGCGATGCTCCATTGGGGTTCAAGATCTCCGTAGCTCCGCCAGACGTATACACACCTCGGGTGTGGGGAACCTCAATACAGACTGGAGGCACATCCTCGTCTGTCAGAGGGCATGTGCCTTTGATCGACTTCCCAAAGATTTGGGACAGCGTCCATTCCTGACCAGTGGTAAGGCCGGTAGGATAACATGTTTCGTCGTTGTGGTAAGGCTTGGAGGTATCGCACTTCAGCTCGTGTCCAGGGGGTGGACGGGGAATCGGGTTGTCTCTTGGTCGCTTGGATCGGTCAATGTCGAGAACCATGTCGATAGTCTGCTCGATTTGAAGAATGCACTCCTGGCCCTCGGGGCAGACAGGCTTGATATCGATGGCCATGCTTTGGAAGGAGGAATCGAAGAGCTTGTGGCCGTCTAGCAGACTCGAGATGCCCGCCTTTCCCTTGCAAGGGAGCAGCTTCAAGAAGGGTGTCAAGTTTTCTGTACACACCACCTCCTTTGGCAGAACGCCATGGAGGAGCTGCATATTCGGGATGGATGCTTCGGGGTGGTCGCCCTCAGGTTGGAATGACATGACCGGTCGGGTGGTTCGGGTTCCGTCGACGAAGTTGAGCGATGCGCAGAAGAGTCCTGAAAGAGCATTGGTGAGGGTCAACCACTTCTGATCGGCCCTGCATATGTGTAAGTGTAATCCATTTGCATTATGACAGTGAGTAACATACTCCTCGTCTGTCTCGGCCTCAAGCCATGCCCATAGCTCCACGCCCGTCCCTCCTTCGCGCTGACCATCCCAGGGCCGACTTCCCCAGCTCTCGGCATCCCATCTTCCCAAGCTGAATCTCAGATGAAGCTCTCTCGTCCCGGCATATTGAAGAATCTGACCCAATGACCGGGGGAAGTATCGGAAATTTTGCAAGTCGAAGTCAGATAGCGACGTATTGGAACGGAAGTTGAAGCTCGCAAGCAGGGCGGACAGGGGCAGCGGGCGGAGGTTCAGCTGCTCGTGGTAATCCGCAGCCAGGCCAAAGGAGGCGAGGCAAGAGAAAAGAATGACCGCCAGAAGTTGGCGCATCATGGAGGGAGTGTCGCAGCGCAAAAGAATGAGATTCGCGTCTGCTGCGGTCTCTCCCCTGCACGGCGGCGCATGTAATCCTGCTGGAGGTGAGGTCGTGTAGGTGGTCGTATGGAGGGATGTCTGGGCGGTGGAACCTGGCAGAATCCCTCTTATGTAACCACACTTTGGAGAAAGTACCTTTTGCAGCTCTCCACATTCCGCCCATGGTTCATCCCGCGCGACACGCCTTCTTCCCCAGAACTTCGCGAATTTCCTTACATTCAATTTAAGATACCCAATTGACCCGTCCACGAAACTCCACGCCAAACCACGATACATCGTATACCATACAAATCTCCACAGACACCATCGAGCATCACATACAATGGCAGCAGAACAGAGAAAGCTGCTGGAGCAGCTCATGGGCGGCTCGGCTAGCACCCGGGCGGCCTCGCTCTCCATGACAGACCCCAAAGTCTGCAGATCATTCCTCGTCGGCACATGCCCTCACGACCTCTTCACCAATACCAAGCAAGATCTCGGCCCTTGCCCAAAGCAGCACTCCGAAGCACTCAAGGCCGAGTATGAGGGACTGTCAGATAAGGAGAAGCAAAAGTACGGCTTTGAGTACGACTACATGCGCGACCTTCAAAAGTACATCGACGACTGCAACAGGAGGATAGACTCAGCGCAGCGCAGACTCGAGAAGACGCCCGACGAAATCCGCCAAACAAATGCCTTGGTATGGACTCAACACTCTCCCGCACTGCCCTGGTTAATAGCTAACGATATCACAGCTGAAAAGCATCGCTGAACTCTCCTCCACAATCCACAACGGCACTCTCGAAGTCGAAATCCTCGGAGAAATGGCCGAAGTATCCCGCGCGATCGACGAGTTCTACCGAGTACGCCAAGCACAGCAAACAAAATCGGACCGCGAGAAGGAACTCAAGGCCCTGTCAGACACCTCAGGACCATCGGGCCACCAGAAGCTGCAAGTCTGCGATGTTTGCGGCGCCTACCTTAGCAGGCTGGATAACGACCGCCGTCTAGCAGACCATTTCTACGGAAAGATGCATCTCGGTTACGCCCAGATGCGCAAGACCTTTGACGCGTTCCCCAAGGAGATGCGCCATCGCCAGCGCGCACCGATGGACGACGACAACATGGGACCCGGCGGTCCCAGAGGTCCTAGGAGCGGTGGAGGGTACCGCGGGCGTGGTGGCAGAGGATACCGTGGCGGTGGCGGCGGTGGATGGTAGGCCCATCCGTGAAAGCTGAACAGATCGATCAAGATCACAGCTCAACCCGAACCAGAGGATGAAGACTTGATGGGCGACAATCCGAATTAGGAGCGTATGTCGATGATGTTCCTCAGATCTCGAAGACGAACAGTATGCTACCCTGAGCACTTAGATTATGACTGAGTATTACAGAAAGCGACCGCCTATACTCTTCGCTCCACCAGCCAAGCTTGTGGTACTCAACAGACGTTCAGCATGAAACCTATAGGATGTAAAACGTGGGTGACGATACCACTGAAGGTTCATTTGCTTCATACTAAGTCTTTTAGGCCTACGATCACACCTGATCCAGTCGGCAACCGCATTATTTTCACGATGGCCAGCATTACGGGTTCAAGATTGCGAATGATCCAAGTCAAGGGAACGTAGACGGCGGCTTTGGGTAGTCCCGGACGGCATTCTGTATTCACGCTCGTAACGGGACCTGCTAAAGACGAGACTCGCAACCCCTAGATGCCCGCTTAATGAGGAATCATGCCTAGAAGCGAACTATAATGTACTCCAATTCCTCTTCATCCCCCTTATCGTGGCGTAATCAAAATGCGTCGTCGCTGTGATTTTGTTATCCAATTCGTGATGCTTCTCCTCTTCGCCAAATTTTACTGTCCGCTTAGGTATAGTCTTCACGAAGAAGACTGGGCGGCGGCGTTCTTGAGCTTCTCATCAAATGCTTCCATCTCGTCGTCCCACCTGCCAAGAGGCGACAAGACAGGAGGCGAAATGTCACCGCTCGTAGCCTTTCCAGGCAGGGCAGGGAATTCCTCAGTACTGATGACAGGAGCCGGCGCGGGAGCCTGGGCGGCGGGAGCCTTAGCTTCCCGAGCGCCGTTCGAATCTCCCCGTTCATGATCATTCCCATACCCGCCCCGACCGCCGCGTCCACCCCGCCCCTGCCCACGACCTCTTCCTCGACCCCTTCCACCTCTACGCTCTTCACCAGCAAACCGATCACCCTGCGGCGTCTCATCCTCCCTCGAAGCAAACCGGCTCCCGGCAAGCCCCGCAGACCTCGTCCCCCTAACCCCGCCATTCGCCCCGCGGAACCCCCTCCTCTCCTCCTCAGCAGCGAGCGCCTCCTTGCCCTCGTCCCACCCGCCCTCCTTGATACTCATCGCCTTGAGCTTCCTCTCGCGGTTCTTGGCGCGCTCGTCATCCATGCGCCGGCGCTCCTCCTCGCCGCGCCGCCGCCTCTCCTCGTCGGCCTTCTTGCGCTGCCGTGCCTCCTCCATGCCGCGCGCATAGGCCTCCGCGTGGCTGCGCTCGTCCTGCTCCGCCTGCTCGAACTTGCGCGTCTTTTCGGCGTTGAGGATGCGCATCTGTTCCATTTTGGCGGCGAGTTGGGACTCGCTTAGTTTGGTGCGCGGGTTCGCGCCCGAGCCGAGGCGGGCTTCTGCGTTGAGGGCTGTGTTTGCGCCGGGAGCGGCGGTTGTGGCATGCTTTTCGCGGGGTGCGTGAGGTGCTGCTGCCGGAGCGGGCGAGTTGCTCTTGGGGGAGGCGGCGTCGCTTGAGGCTGCGGCAGCCGGGGGAGGGGCGACAGCAGCAGCATCGGCGGCAGGAGCAGAGGAGTTTTGCGCCGCGGGACCGGTCGGCGGCTTAGGCGCGGGCGTGGTTGCGGTCGCGGTCGGAGGGGGAGTCGAGACGGCGGCGGGGGCTGCCTGGCGAGGGCCGCGCGGGGCTGCAGGGGCCGGCTTGGGGTCGGCGAATCTGGAGTTTGCGAGACCACCCCTCGGCGCTGTGGGCGGTTTCTTGTTGGTCGGGGCTTGCTTTTGCGGCTTCTGCTGCTGATGTTGCTCTACGGACTTGGGTGTGACAGGTGCAGGCGCGGGTGCCGGTTTTGGTGGTTCGACTGGCGGCGTCGCGACGGCGGCGGGAGGAGGGGGTGGAGGATGAGGTGCGACGACGGTTTCGACTGTCTCAATGGCCTGGGGGTTGCTTACAGGCTCAAAGTCGTCAAAGAAGAGGTCGTCGTCTGTGCGGCCTCCGAATTGATCGTCCATGGTGAAGGATATATGTTCTAACAATTATACTAGACAAAAAGGTATGAAGGAGAGAATGTCGGTAAGAAGTTATAGCAAGGGAAGCTAAGATATTTGGAGCAGATGCACGAGGTTAGGTTGGCCTGCGAAGGAGTTGCCCTCGAAGCTCTGGGTGTTTGGAGGGCTTGCGAACCATGTTGGATTAGGCAAGTGGGGTTGCCAAGCGCAAATCGAGTCTGGAGGGAGGCCAACCGGAAGGAAATACTTTCGGCCCGCCGTATCGGAGAAGGCCAGTCGAATATCGGAGTTAGTGGGGCTGTTTCTACACAGTGTTTGGTACATGAGCGGCGGCCTCTCCTTCCAGACCAAACATCACAGCGTGGAGTAAAGATGCCAGAAACGGCAAGACTATTCTCCTCAGGCCTTGACACCGAGTAACTCCAATTCCTGGACCAGCTTCCACATCAGCTCTTCATAACTCTCCACAAACGGAATCTCGTATCTCGAACAGACGACTTGAACATTGCCTCTCTTCTTGTACCCTTCAGGACAAGCGACGATGACCTTTCCCTTCGAGCGAGCACAGAGCCCCAACTCCAGCAAGCTGATGTGGCCTTCTGTCTCCGGCTCAAAGTAAACAACGATGATGTCGGCCCTCTCTTGCATGTCCAGCTCCCACTTGACCTGGTTGCTGAACCTCTCATCCGAAATATCCTCCTTCCAGGTGCTGTCCCAGTCCGGCCGGAAGGGATCAAATATGACCACCGGCAAATGAGCCAGAGAGTCGGCGACATCCTTGCGCCAGTCTCTCTTGCTTGTTGTGCCTGCGAGGAAGATTGTCTTTTCGTGTATTGTCATGTCCCTCATCAAAGGATGGATGACCCTGCTCTTCCTTCGTGTCGCGGTGCTCATGGTGGTAACGGGCGTGTCTCGAGACATCGTCTGCAAGACTCCAGACTCTTGCCTTAGGGTTGTTGATGGCTTTGTGTAAAGTGAAGGCGATCTTCCAGGATTCACTTGAATTTGGTGACTCTGTCTTCCGGAAGAAGTTGGTGTGTGAGATATCTCGATCCTGCTGGTCAGCCTTAAGACGGATGACAGTCATCATGCAGCTCGGCCATTGGCCACGGCTGTAGGGGGCTCCCGACTTGAGGCACCTAGTCGTGCTAGTCTACGGGACTACAGTCCGTAGCGATAAAGTATCTCGGTCTTGCTTGTCGCAGGTAAACGCCTTGCGAGCCGCGACTTCTGCCCCGGCCAAAGCACCGTCTCTTCCTGGTCTGCTGTAAACATGACAATTTTGCAATGCCCAACTGTCCAAGATCCCTTGCATTCCCTAGATGGACGATCCATGGTGAAAACTTTAGGGAGTAAGGCGAAAGTTCGAGCCTCCCATTATCAGCTACTGCTCCGCCACTGAGTCGCATTGTACAGCTCTGTACCTTAACAGACCTAGGTATGGTAGCAAGGGTAGGTAAACTTGTTGGGGCAGCGATATCTTGTCCCGCCGTTTGAATCAAACAAACAACGATTTACGCCCACGGCAGACTCCTGTCCGACGTATCTGCATGTAGTATGGGACCATGGGTGAGAAGTGAGGCTTGTCGGGTTAATCCAGCGAACAGCTACTTCGATAACACCCTTGCCGGCCTGTGTCCCCTTGTTTGGACACACTTGGCCGTTCACCGGTGCTCCGTTTTCGTCGCCGGGAGCGTGGTGCCCTCCAATAGGACAGAATACAGATTGCTGGGGGCTGTGGCTTCGGAAGATCACCACGCGCACCCTGGATGTGGATTGGGGATCTGCCAGTCTGGCTCTTCTGGATGCCAATCTTGCGGTGAGCTGCGCTGCTGCCCGCTGCTAAGGCCTTTTTCCTCCATATCTCACGAGCTCACAGGGAGGTCGGCGACCATCCCGGGCTGTCTCAGCTAGGTGTCACTTGCTGAGGAGGATCGTGGCTGGCTTGGATGGATGGACGCCGAAGTGGCCAGACTCCACGTCCGTACGGATACCTAGGAAGAGGTCCAGGCGATAATAGTGCTTGGCGCCCACCTGACAGTTTGTACGAAGTACGAAGTTGTGAAATGTGAAATCACGCAACCGATCTCGGCCCTGCGGACAGTTCTTCCTTGATGCTTAAGGTCACTCGCGGCCGCCCGGTTTTTCCTAATCTCGTTTCCTTCAACTGAACCATACCTAATCATACCTGCGTTTTTGCACTTCCCTATATTTGCTATCACGGGCGTATGATACCATCCCCTCCAATGTTGCGTCATGAAGCGGTGAGAAAGTCAAAGCCATCAGGACGTCCGTACAAATAGAGAAAAACCTCCCTCCCCACCTTTGGCTTGGGGCGAGTTACCCCAGGATCGAAGCGGATTAAGCCCATCTACGAATTCTTACCCTTCCGTAGCGTACGGATATTCCGAGTCAGAATCGCGGACGCTGTCGTTGCCATCTCGAGGAGATGGCCGTTGTATACAAATCTGGTCAGCCCCACGCTCCGGGCGAGGACGACTGCGAGGGGTGCCGGAAGATACACCAGGATCTGGTCGAGCTATCGGTTGGCTCCGAGTCTTCTGAAGAGTACGAAGATGGTGAGTTTCCTTCTGTCTCTTATTGTAACTTGGTCAATTTGCTGGGCTTTTGAGGAGAGTTCAAAAAGGGACAAGTGTCACGAGACGTGGATGCTTCAAGGTGACAATTCGTGTCACTTTGGTCCCTGTAGTTCCCCTGAGAAAACAGCAGTGGACCTTGTAGCTACGGGAGCTAGAGCACTTGGGCTGGCAGGAACTGCACCTAGGGACGATCCACTCAGCCCAAAACCTTGGGACGTCCACAGTGTCCACCCCTAAGGGAGAGGTCCCTTACGGGGAGATCCACGCTGCCCGGGGGAATGGTGGGCGGAGTGACTCCCTTTTTAGCGCATTTCGTCATTCGCCATTTTCGTTGCGAGTTCGCAGCCAATTTGGCCTATTCATCTTGGGAAATGCGTCACAATCCAACGTCTGCTGCTTGCTTTCCTGTCTCAACACGCCACATAACGTTTCCTTTTCCTTCAACCTCGATCGACCCATTCCATTCTCTCTGTTGGGTCGACCGGTCGCATTCTTTCGCCTAAGCACCTCCGCTGACAAGCTGTCCCCGTCCCTTCTCGCGCGACAGAAGACACAATGCCGTCCGCCATTGCGGCCTCCGACCTGTCCACGAACCTGAGCGACACGGACGACTGCCCCCAGGTCGGCCCCGAACTCCTACACAACCTCAAGCACGACAGCTCCGTCCTCGCCCTCGCCGTCAGCGCCGAGAACGAACGCATATACGCCGGCACCCAGGATGGCGAGATTGTCGTGTGGTCGCTGGCCACCTTCCACCAGGAGCGCATCGTCCAGGCTCACAAGCGCAGCGTGCTGAGCCTGTTTCTTACCCCCGATGGCTCCATGCTGTTCTCGAGCGCCGGAGACCCCCTCATCAATGTCTGGTGCCCCAAGACGATGAAGCGGCTGTACGAGATTTACAGCACATACGACGTTGGCGACATTTTTTCCGTGGCCTACAGCGCCCAGCACGAGACTGTGTACGTTGGAGCGCAAAACACCTCGATTCAATGGGTCAGCCTCACCGATCCGAATAACCGTACCACTCACGACTCATCACAACACCCCGACCGTCGGAATCATAGGTTCTTCGACTCCCGAGCTGTAGGAGGGACAACAACGCCGCGCCGTAACGATGAGAGGTGGACATTGATCCCGCGATCTGAAAAAGTGGTGGAAATTCATCCGGGCGCTGTGCAGATGTTTGCCCACTATGGCTATGTCTACTCAATGCTCATGGCCAGGGGCCCTACCGTTCTTGTGGAACCTGAAGAGGAGGTGCTCATCTCGGGTGGCGGAGACGGTACCATCAAGTTGTGGAAGCTTGGTGCTGAGGGAGACGATCAGGCTGCTGATAACGACCGCGAACCTGGCCTTCAAGAGCTTATGTCGCTCGGCACCGACGATGCGGAGTCAGTCATGTCTCTTGCGATTGACGGGTCTTTCTTGTATGCTGGGAAGCTGCAAGGAGTCATTGAGCTGTGGGACCTCGACACGAAGTCCAAGTTGCGGGTGATTAAGGGTCACAGGGGCGACGTGATGACGCTACAGATGGGCTGGGGCTATCTCCTGAGTGCCTCCCGCTCTGGTTCTGCGAGTGTAAGGTCTTTGATATCCTCATCTCGTTCATTGCTGACAACCCTTAGAAACACACCACGGCCCACTATGGCCAGTACCAAGACAAACAGGTTGCGAACATTAGCCAAAAGTACCAGTGCGTGGCGCGCTGGAAGGCCCATGAGGGCAAGATTCTCTCATCAGCAGTGACAACGTACAACAACAGACAGTACTACATTACCGGCGGCAACGACGATGATGTTGCCATCTGGAACATTGACTGCTCGTCTTACGAGGACCAACAAAAAGAGGTAGAGGAAGCCAACGACGTCATGATTAAAACACTAGGAGAGTTCGTGTCCTACCGGACAGTGTCATCACGCCCAGAATTCGCAGAGGACTGCCGAAGAGGCGCAACGTTTCTTGGGTCCTTGTTCAAGAGGCTTGGCGGCCATGTCGAGATGCTGAGCACGGAGAGCAGTCCCCACAACCCCGTTGTTCTCGCCAAGTTTGATGGCGTTTTGGAGCCGGCCGAGAAGCGGAAGAAGATCCTGTTCTACGGCCACTACGACGTGGTCCCGGCAGATACCAAGAAGGGCAAGTGGGAGACGGACCCATTCCAAATGAAGGGTGTCAACGGATACCTCTACGGCAGAGGCGTCAGTGACAACAAGGGCCCGATCATGGCTGCGTTGTTCGCTGTGACGGATTTGCTGCAAGCCAAGAAACTTGCCAACGACGTGATCTTTCTGATCGAAGGAGAGGAAGAATCGGCTTCTCGCGGATTCAGGGAGATTGTTCGCAAGAACAAGGACCTCATCGGCGACGTTGACTACATCCTGCTTGCCAACAGTTACTGGCTCGATGATGAGGTCCCCTGCCTGACCTATGGTCTGCGCGGCGTCCTGCACGCCACTGTCTGCGTCGACTCCCATCTGCCCGACCAGCATTCTGGCGTAGACGGCTCCTACATGAACGACGAGCCCCTGTCGGACCTTACCTCCACGCTGTCAAAGTTAAAGGGCCCCGGTAACAAGGTCCTCATCCCGGGCTTCTACGACGACATTCTCCCGGTCACGGCCGAGGAGGAGACGCGCTACGACGACATTGCGTCTACGCTCATGCGCCAGAACCCAGAAAAGGGGCCCGCCGACAAGCTCAAGGCCGCGCTGATGGCGCGCTGGAGGGAACCCAACTTGACGATACACCGATACAAGGTATCAGGACCGGACGGCAGCCTGGTCAGCAGCCACGCGAGTGCTAACATCAGTTTGCGTCTGGTGCCGGGCCAGGAGGTCAACGACATCATTGCCTCGCTGGGCTCCTACCTCGAGAGCGAGTTCGCGCAGCTCGAATCCAAGAACTCGCTGACCATCAAGATTGACAACAAGGCCGAGCCGTGGCTGGGTGATCCCACGAACGCCATTTTCCAGACGCTCGAGGAGGCTATCATGCAGTCGTGGTCATCCGTGTTCGCGGGTGACAGTGCGGGAGCGGAGCAGGGAGAGACGACGGACATGAATACGCAGAAGCCCAAGAAGCCTCTGTACATCCGTGAGGGCGGCTCCATTCCCGCAATTCGGTTCCTCGAGAAGGAGTTCGGCGCACCGGCTGCGCATCTTCCTTGCGGACAGTCCTCAGATTCAGCGCACTTGGACAATGAGAGATTGAGGGTCCTGAACCTCCTCAAGAGCCGGGAAATCATCGGGTCTGTGTTTGCTCGTTTGTAGATGGCGAGACATTCTGGGCGCTATCTACGGTATTTTTCGGGAGGCGTTTTGGGTACTGGGCAGCGGCATGTCCAATGGCACATTGTACAAATAAACAGAAAAGTAGAGGGATACCCCAAAAATCAATGCATTTCTAGAGATTGCTTCGTTTGTCAGTGAAAATTATGGTGACGGCCATGCGCAGCGACTGACTCGTTTATAACACTGCAAAAGATGGCACTTTCAACCCCTCCGTTGACGTGATCCGACCATCGGCAAGCTGGAGCCGAGCGTCGGCCGTTGGAGCTTCCCCATTCGGCTCGCCGGTTCGGACAGTCTTATCTTATCACTAACGACGACGACTCTCCCGTCTCCCACCTCACATGAGACGACACTTGACTTGCATCTCAAAACATCTCGTGAACAAGGCTTACAAGAGGTGATCAGTATCGATAGTTGCTTCATTGACTTGGGAACTGAGACAATAGGACAAGAAAGAAGGAAGTTGGAAAGATGGAGTACAAGCGTCAGTCTCCGGCCGCCGTAAAGGTGAAGCCGCGCCTCATCATCCACGGCGGCGCGGGCAACATTAAGCCGTCGAATCTGCAGCCGCCAGAGTATGCAGAGTACCGCCATGCCTTGCTGACAATTGTAAGTTCATACATCACAAGCTCTCCCTCCCTTCTAGTCAGAGACTCCCACAGAGACCCCTCTCACACCTCTCATCAACAACACTTCACCAACTCTTCTCGTTCATATTACTCACGCAACAATAGGTCAGCAAGACAAACGCCTACCAAAACACCCCCAGCACCACCAGCACCACCAGCACCACCCTCCCCTCAGCCCTAGAAACAGCAACCCACGCCGTCACCCTGCTAGAGAACAACCCCCTCTTCAACAGTGGCCACGGCGCAGTCTTCACCCGCGACGGCATCAACGAGCTCGAGGCCTCCGTCATGGTCTCCCGCGGCTTCGCGAAGCGCGGCGTCGGCGTCACGGGGCTGCGACACGTGCGGAACCCAATCTTGCTTGCCAAAGCGATTTTGGAGCACGGGGATAAGGATTTGGGTGGGAACCCTGAGAGTAGTCATCCTTCTTCCTCTTCTTCCTTGCATACTACTGCTGGAGGTGGTGATAATTGTGAAGATGGTGCGGTCGCCGGCATCGACGCCCCGTCAGCACAAGGCCACACCCTCCTCCACGGCGCAACAGCCGAGACCCTCGCCAAGAAGTACGGTCTAGACCTCGTCTCCACGGACTACTTCTTCACCCAGCGGCGGTGGGACGAACACATCCGCGCCCTCGAACGGGAGAAAGCAGGCCAGGGGTCGAGCACGTACAGCACGACAGAGTTCCTCCCGCAAGGCACCGTCGGCGCCGTAGCCCTAGACGAAGACGGGGTCGTCTGCGCCGCGACGAGCACAGGCGGGCTGACGAATAAGTTGACGGGCCGCATCGGGGATACGCCCGTCGTCGGGGCCGGGTTCTGGGCCGAGGAGTGGGTTGAGGAGGGGGATCCGACGGGGGCGTTTGCACGTGCTGGAGCTGGTGCTGGTGGAGATGGGTTCCTTGTGTTGAGTGAGAGTTTGAAGGGGCTGATGGCGGATTGTCTCCCCTCGCTGAGGACTTACTCCCCCGTACCTAGCGGCGAAGCCAGTCTGCGCAAGGGCGTCAAGACCACGAGGGCGATTGCGGCCTCCGGGACGGGGAACGGGGACTCGTTCATGCGCGTCGCCGCAGGCCGGACCGTCGGCGCCGTGGCGCGGTGGAAGCCGCTTTCTGGGGCCGACGCCGTGTCGTTTGTTTCTGGTCCGGGTGGGGAGTTGCAGAGCAGTGCGGGACCGCGGTGGAAGGTGACCGGCGAAGGCGAGGGGGGGATTATTGGGATCGAGGTTGCGGTCACGAGGGACGAGGGAGGGGAAGTGGTGGGTGTAAGGTCGGAGATTCTGCAGGATTTCAACTGTAATGGGATGTACAGGGCTTGGATCGCCGACGACGGCAAGGCGTATGCCAAGATCTATCGGGATGGTGTTGAGGGGGTTGATGTGAGGGAGTATTCTGAGAAGTGGTGAGCTCGAAAACGGATACAGGGGGTTATCAGATTAGAAATGCTCTAGGGTCGGTCGAGGAGATTCAAGATGCAGTATAGAACCAAGATTTTGAGAAGAAAAACAGCGAGTTGATGGTACAATTATGAACACCTCTATCCCACACAGGTTCAGTACTCGTGTCAAAAAAGGGAGAAGAGACTGTCTCTCTCCTCGGATCCAAAACCCCAGCCATATCGAGAAATGCAGGTTTTGCCCGACCATGCTGCCTACGGAAGCCGCCTTTCGTCTTTGGTGAGTTGGAAGCCCCCCTCTAAGATCATGATGGCTGTCCGCCCCTCATCTCGAGTCCAGTCTCAGGCGACTGGTGCAAACTTTTTGCCCCTATTCTACATATAACGCCACCCTCTCCGATGTTGCGATTTTTTCAATGGATTACAAAAACGGGATCGAATTGCTTCGCTCCCTTGTGATGTGGAAAACAAATTGTCGAGCCCTTGTCGAAAGGACAAAAAACAGGCTTCGAACGTTGAGGAGTAGAGAGGGGTCCGAGTTATTCATTTCGTCGGCAAGGCGGTCGCCTCGATCACACGCCGTTCGTCGGTAAAATGGTTGCTTCGTGAAGGATCGATCGTTTATGCAAGAGCTCTCTCGTCGGAAGGAGGAGGCGCGGGCATCTATCATGAAATTGTCAGCTTCACTTCGCCGGGCAAGCGCTTGCGACCGCTTCAACTCACCTCCAGCTTTGTGCTACCCGCGAACATCTTCTGGAAACCGATACCGACACCCTCGATGACAGCAAGAAGCAGCGCGCAACCAATGGCACCGTTTCGGGCGGCCTAATAAGTCAAGTTAGCGACATGCAGGAATCGGCCGTATATGCAAGTTGGCTTACCTTGTATCCTCCACGGATGGCTAGCGCACCACCTGTGAGGAAACCAGCGGCGATACTGTTCCAAGGATCCTCCTTGTGTCCACGAAGACCTAAACATAGAATGTTAGCGCCCAAGACATAGATTATCGTGCCATGAGATACAGAGGGACATTGCTAGCCCTGCGAGTGCTGGCGTTTCGAGGTGATAGCTCAGGTTAATGCGCCTTGTTGCAATACCATCTTCGCCAGTGCGAGGCCTAGCAATTTTCCCTCGTATCTTATGGCTTTACGGAGTTTGAGGAGACGGTTCATACTTTTTACGGAGCAGTCGAATGTTCTGTTTTACATCAAGTCAGTCAGTAAGTTACTCAAAATCGCCAGGAGGGCTTGTAACGGCTTGGCATTCAGAATCGAGAGTTCGATTTTCGGCAAAGGAGTCCACTCACGAGAAAAGACCTCCCCAAACTAGAGAATGGCGTGTTAGCGTTTTCCACGAGATCAAAAGTCTCCCGTAGAGACGTATGCTTACCTCCAAAGTTTCCTCCCAGTACGGGAGCGCGCATCTTGATGGCTGAGATGGCACCGATTCTTCTCTCACCTGGTGCGCTGTTAATCATCACCATCTTCGAGATCGCGCAGAGGGGTAGTCGTTACCATAGGGCGAGTTACGGTAGCCCTTGATACCGTGCCATACCGTTCCACCGATAGCTAGACATGTGTCAGAATGCAAGTTTCGTGGCGAGGTTGATCGATTCGGGAGCTCGAGGTTCGAAAACGAGGTGTATTCAAGATTCGAGGAGTGCATCGATGTTCGTGATCGCAAGTAGCTATATTACTCACCTCCCATAGCAAAAGCACCGCCAAAGTCTACAGGATCGTTAGTCTTGGGCTCCCAGGGGGTGATGGTGGTCGGCTGAGGACGTTACCATTGAGGATGACCCAGGGGCAGGGATCGCGGGTGTGGTCCATTGTGAAAGTTTTGATGTGCGGTCGGGAGGCCGTGAGATGGTTGGCGTGAAGCTGGGAGCTTAAAGACGCGACGGTTCGGTGTGGCTTCGCTGGATGGTGGTTGACGTGGATGGTGAAAAACCAGGTTCGAGATGCGATTTTGGTGATGCTTGGGTGGCTACGGCGGGTCAGGATGCGACGGGTGTCGTGAATGATTTCTCCGACGGCGGACTTTTTCGTCTGATTTGTTATCTTATCGTGAGTCGCCCTCTCCGATTGGCTGGTGGGGCCAGAGCTCTCCACTATCGGCGTTATCTCGTCATTGGCCCAATTAGGAAATGTACCTCCCGTCTTACCTCGCAGCAAGCGAGAGTCACTAGAAGAAGTGACGAACACCAGAAGTGACTAACGAAATGCAACATCTTGTTTGATTAGATGAAATGATGGACTGAATTATCTGCAATTCCATTCCATGTTTTATCAATACTGCGCCATGGCCGAGCAACAATTCGATCCAATCTCCTCTCGTAAAGGCTGCACTTTGGCGAGAGCCAAAACGGATCATGTACCTCACATTCAATCCATGACCAGAGCTGCGTACTCCAAATACATCGACCGTATCGGCAAAGAACCAGCACCCATGAAAGCCGACTATTACGAGCTCATCAAGACGCAGCTGGTCTACATACTTTACGACGATGAGAATGACGCAGTAGTAGGCGCCATTCTACTTCGCCTTGATCCTTCAGCGAACGCACTACATATCAACAATCTGGTCGTTGCCCCAGAGGCTCAAGGCCGCGGATACGGCCGAGTCTTGATGAAATGCGCCGAGGATGTGGCGCGAGATTCACGATGCACATCTCTCCAACTCTACACCAATGTAAAAATGTATGAAAACCTCATTTTGTATCCCAAGATGGGGTTCGTCGAGACAGAGAGGAGGACGGAGGATGGGTACGAGAGGGTGTACTTTCGTAGGGAGCTGGATGTTGCATAGACTCCACCGCAGTCTGTGTTATTCTTACTCATTGAATGAAGAAGGCCTCGCGTGCACAACGTAGGGAACACAAGGGCCGCCATACAGTCGAATTTATATCATTTCAGGATGCTTAGAGTCGGAAACCAAATCAACACTGCAGATATGACTATGAGTCTGTCGTTGTAAACCGAATACTCAAGGCCTCAAGCGAGCTAAACTCGATTGACCCACTGGAAACTGAGACAGCCCAACCAATGAGAATCAACACTGAGCTTCCGTTCCGTCAGCGGAACAACTCATGTGGCGCACGTCATGCTACCTTGACGCACTTATCTCATCACTGGACAATACAGCTAATCCCACTTCATCTCAGTGAATACCGACGACAGCTTCCCTATATCTTAAAAACTTTGATCTCATCGATTCCTTCGATCGAAGTCTGCAAAGTCACCGGCCCGCTCCATTTTTGCTTCTTGGATACGCCATCACCATCGCAACGTTCGGGCCATTATGGCCTCCCAAGACAAGCACGACGACACAGGCTCCGATACGGCTTCAGAGTTCCACACCCCCATCTTGACACCTGCAACAACATCCGTAGCAGGCGAAGATGTCGAGGATGATCATGTAAGCGACGTACCATGGCCCGGCAAGCACTTCTACATCATCGAAAAGGAGACTGGCAAAGCCATCACCATAGTCGATGACAGGCCAGTCCTCATGGACCTGCAAGGCGTCCGCGATCCCGCCACCATGTGGTATTGCGTCGAGAAGCAAGGGTATTTCGGGTTTTTGAACAAAAGCTGGGGAAAGTTTATTGGCCACGACAGCAAGAGCGACGTGGGTGCATGGGCCGGGGAGATGAGGGAGTGGGAGTCGTGGATTCCTAGACAACACCCCGATGGGGGCTACCAGTTGCTGTCGCCGTATTGGACGCATACTATGATGCAGCTTTGCGTTTGTCCGGACAGGATTAATCTGTGTAGGCGGTCTCATGGCCCGACATTGTGGGAGTTCATGCAGGTTCCATGGTAGATTTGACCTACGCATGGACAGGGGTCGCAGGGCTTTTCGTCCGTATATCAGCGCTGAGGGCCAAGTCGAAGTCGTTGAAGAGTTGGATCATTAGGGCTACTTGGTGACTGGAGTTCATATTTTGATGCATTGCAGAATATTAAGCAAAATTGGCAAGTTAGTAAAGGCGTTTTCTCTTACCTGGTCGAAGTGCAGTAGCATGTCGGATGCTTTTGTCAATTAGCCAGAGCAATGGCACTTCGTTCACTGTCTCAATGGTGAAATGAAGTGAGCGGGTTTACTACACCTCTCCTACCAAGACCTAGTATTTCAATATCCCAGCCTGCCATGGACTCCCCGTCCATCATGAGGATAATCACCGACCAGGAAAACCAGCGGAGCCAAAGTCCGTGGATGCGTGAAGTGCTAAATCTTTCAACGAACCTCTAAAGCATATCGTCTATCCAAATCGAGACTAGGGTTTTTGAATGACGGAGAGCAGAGTAAATGTAATCGTGAGAAAGTATATCCATTGTCTATTACAGCATTATGATATTGAGTCCTAAAAGTCCAAGTCATGACCAGTTTCACAGCATCAGCTGCGGAGGTCTATTCGTGCCACGTCCATATATACATGTATCCTCATACGATTTACAACAAGGCGGCGCCGATAGCAACGCCAGCAACCAATCCAAACAGCTCGCGAGACGCGCCGGTAGGAACGGCAGCGTTGGGACTGTTGGTGGTGGCAGCAGTAGTCGCAGCAGAACCAACAGCCCGCGTGCTACGAGCAGACTGGCTTCCAGATCCCGACGCAGCAGTGGTCGTCAGGGTAGTCATGGTAGCATTGCTGAAGCCGCTCGAAGTAATAACAACAGCCGTGGCAGACGCAGAAGTCTCGCTCTCAACGGCAGCGGAGTCCGTCGACGTGGTCACGGTGGCGACAGAGGCACTGTCCGAGGCGCTGGCGGTGGTCTCCGGGGCGGCAGTGGTGGTGACGGGTGCCACGGTTGTCGAGACCACAGGCGCGGCACTGGTCTGCAGGGGCAGGAAGGAGGGCGAGTAGGTCTCGGTGCCCTCGTAGGAAGGGCAGCCGGGGACGGTGGTCTTGGGAGGGGCGCGGCCGCCGCCGCAGTCGAGGGCGGCGCAGATCTCTCCGGTGCCGGGGACGTACCAGACGCGGGTTGCGTAGGGTGTGCCACCCTGGGTGGGTGTCACGACGGAGTCTGAGGAGACGCAGCCGGCGAGGTCGGTCTTTGCCAGGACAGCGGTGGCCATGATGGCAAGGGAGGTAATGTATCTGAAAGACATTTTGATGTGATGTGTAGGCTGATGTTGGTTTGATGTTGTTGGGTATTAAGATGGTGTAATAGCTCCGGTAGCGATGTAAGAGCAGCTCGAACGATTGTGTTGATTATGAACGAATGTAATGACCCGAAGGCGAGTGGAGGCTTCTAGGTTGATGATCGGTATTAAGGATGAAGAGAGAGAAAATAGAACCAACACATTCCTCGTTGTCAAAAAGATCCTACTCTCGCAGACTTTTGTATGTCCAGGACTCCAAGTTCCCAATCACGGCTGCCTTGACCCCGGGTCTAAACAACGCCCCTGGACGGAGCTAAGCGGGTCTGAGACGGGAATCTTGCGCCACCTCATCTCGGAAGCCGCCTTAGCGGTCATTAAGGCCATCCTACAAACGCCCGATCCCAACGGCTCTGCGATCCTGTGGCTGTTTGCTATGTCTCATCGATGGCCCATTGAGATGCCGTTGCAGCCGTTCCGGTCAGATTTTTTTTTGTCGCAGATCCATCCATCGTTCCATGAGAAAAAAGCTTCTTCTCTTCCTTGGATGACAACGTAGCTCAATACACTAAGACGCGCCAAAAATAATCCTCAGGTTCGTAAAAACTGCACCGCCCCTTTGACGGTAGTCCGCCGGTCTCGAACGGGCGAATACGGCGCAGTGGTCCGCGCCGGGATCTCGATCCTTGCATTGCTGATGTTTTTTTCTTCTCTCCAATGGGACTTTGGTGCCCTCAATGCTATTTGCTGGGGCTTCGTATGCTAATTCCTTGCTGCAGGTACCAGCAACAAGAAAAGCAAGCAGAGTGGCGTGAGTGGCCCAAAGTTCTAACCGCTGTTTGTTTTGCGAATCAAATTTTATTGTACGTGAATAGCTGAGTGAGGATCCCTGCCACGCCTGCCTTGACTTTGGAAGTTTGGACACCAGAATAGCCGTTCGCCGGGGGCGTTCTTGAAAGCCAGCCAAGGGCATGACGACACAGCACCTTATGCCCCTTGCAAATACATGTATGACATGGCTCGAGTCCTCCTCAGAACAATGAAACTAGGTTGTGAGCTCGACTTCGAGGCGCCACAAGACTGGTCGCGTACTTTGACGACTGTCGATCAAGTCTCCGAATATGAATTCGCTGCACGCACGTTTGTCTGATCAACGATAGAGAAGTCGATGCTCAACCACTACAGCCCCGAGGAAACGTGTTACCTAACTACTCACTGAAACAGGAAAGTCGGGATATTTGGCCTTGAAGCTCTGCACTGTGGGTATAGTTGTTGAACGCGTATTTTCTGTCAAGTCTGTACGGATTTGCTTTCGTTTCTCATCTTCCTAGCATTTCGAGGCTTGGATTGGTGCATCATCATTCGTCACTTTCTCTGCATTTCTTGAGTATTGATGGCATTATTGCGTGCGTTACATAGACAAATGCAACGTTCATATGCGGATCCAAAGAAGCAATGTAATCATACAGTATTGTTACGCAAGATGCCTGCAGGACGAATATCTTCAACTAATGGCAAAGCCTGCGTCCATTCCCAGTTAAAGGATGTTCCATGGATGAAATAAAGACTTGAGTATATCAACATGATAGAAAGGCTCGAATGGATAACGAGAATCTCTTACAGGAGATTAGGAAAACATCTTCTCTAGGTACCTAACAGTTGAAATAAATGGCCAGGTTTGTAAGAGTAGGTATCGTGATATTGAGTTGGTAGATCCAGACGTCATAAAGGTACTGGAGTCTCTTTGTACACTCATGTATGATCTTGAATGGCACCGCGTTGCGGTTGACACAGATGAAGTATAAAGCCTTTGATGTCTCCAGCTCAAGTTATTTCGACTCTCTTTATCCAAGTCTCCAACTTTCTCTTTTCGCCCAGGAGCTTCGATGATTTCAGATAGGAACCATGTTCTTGAAAGTGCCCCTTCGGGTTTTCATATGGGAATGTTGAACCAGGATTTTGATCCAATAAAGGATTTGTCCGATTTCGACCCGACCCTTGATTGTTCTCGTCGAGTCCGAATACATTGTGGTTGTTTCCCAGCAGCCTCGTTGTTCTAGGCGACTCGACCAAGTACTCTGAGACCGCAAGCGGTTGTGTTGCCTCGCCAGTCCTTTCATATGAGCACCTAAACAGGCAACATGAGCGCTCGAGTTTCTTGCATGTATATCTGACTGGTTGAGCAACGGGATTTTCTCCCAATTAATAGGTCTTCAAGTCCCAACTTTAAACAGTACTCGACAGGTCTCAATTCGACTCTCATCGTCTGACAAAAAGTGCCCGTGTTCCACACGTCAAATCTTTCACGACAACTACTTACCAAAGTCGAGTCATCTCAAGCATCCACACTCCACCTCATCAACAGGCAAAAATGTGCCAAAAAGTTGAGATCCTGATCGTTTGTTGCGAGCCGAACTGCTCAAATGTTTACGAAAACGGCCTCCGGAAGCCTCAGATGCGTCTCATCCCCCACCCTGAAACAGCCTTCGTCCTCTGCGGCCAGGCCCTTGACCTCGGCTATGTCAGCGACCGCTTCTTTATGGACCTTCCCGTCATGTCCAGCGTCCCCAGAAATTGCCCTGACCTGCTTGAGAACTACAAGTTCCAGCTCGTCCTCTCGCAGGTCGCTTCGAAGCACATCATGGAGTTGGAGACCAACTCGCGCATCCAGTGCAAGACCTGCTCCGGCACGGGAAAGCCCGCGATAGTTTCAAAGTCGGGCAAAAAGTCGTCTATTCAGTCGACGGCACCGTCTGGCAACGCCCATGTTGAGGCTAAGTGGACGTGTTGTGCCGAGGGCAAGTGTAATCCTCGACAGGAGTGCGAGAGTCATGCTTCTGCCCTTCTGTGTCGGGACTCTGATTGGGCCAAGGAAGGTGAAAGTTGCATCATGAGAGGCGATGGTGATTTTGATCTCGATGTGGAGAAGATTGCTTAGAAGTCGGCCAGTATTGAACAAAGGTAGTCTAAGAAAAGTGAGGCGTTTATTGACTTATGATAAGTTGGCTTGGCATAAAATAGTTCTTATTGGGCAGGTTTTACAGATTGGAATAGGATTTTTTGTGCGTCTGAGTCGACTCGTCATCAAAATTTGGCCGTGTTTCAAGACTAGCAGTGAAAGGTGACGAGCAGAAGTTGAATTGTGGCATGATATTTTATGTTTTGATATGAAGACCTCGCTTGAGCATCCACAAAGTGTTCTGGTCTTTGCTCGAGCAATGAAAGTTATTCGCTGTACTGTATAGTCTCTACAACCTAGGTACAGCGGTTCAGGCATGACTCAAGTTGTTAAACATCTCTAAAGCTCATGGACATATACCGTTGCCCCAGAATGCATCGTGTCCTTCATTGCGCCATACAGTGGACCAAGCACGCCATGTGGTTGTCCCAACACAGAGGATAAGCTTATTTTTGACCTTGCATGGCTTGTCCTGGAACACTAATATGCAGATGCCATTCTGGCTCACATTGCTATCAGAGTGTTGGGACTTGACGCGCGCATGATATGCTTGCCAATTCCCCTATTTTGTTCCCAATCGTCGGAGAAACTCTGAATTGATCCACCATGCAGACCTAAAGATAGTTTTGCTCGGTTAACACGAAATGCCAAATTGATGCGCTACTTTACCACTTTTGGCCGCGGAATCTGCCCTAAGTTACTCTGGTTTTCTAAACATACTTGAGCTGCGATTCTTGTCTTCGCCGGACGTCATAGATAGCATAGATAGCTCAACACTACCGTGAAAGAGGATACGGCAGTCGGCTAGTCTGTGAACGAGCGAAACCGAAGACTGTTGATCCACCTCGATCCCCGAGAATTGACTGCCCAAGAACGAGCTTGGTCCCGGGACTAGTAAGGTAGTGACTTGAACTAGGATCCACCACTATCCATGCTTAACTACTTTCCGTCCCGCCCGTCGGGAAAAGTCCGACTCAACTTGGCACTCACTTGGCAGCAGCATTTGTTGCCCACTCTCTCGCAGAATCCTGGGGTACCTATTCAACTTCAGTTTATTAAACGTTCTTTGTTCTTGAACCTTACAGATTTGTATCAAGCATTTGACAAAAATGAAGTTGAGCGAACTATAGCATAGTCTCGCATACCCTTAGTCAGGTCGTTGCAGCTTGCTAGTCATTCTTAG